CGGGCATGGGTATTTAATAGATACCAAAAATGGAAGGCTAGGGAATTAAATTCACGACAAATTATTTTGAATTTACAAAACAACCCACTCGGAAACATGGCTACTATTCAAGATGTTATGCATACATTATCACCTTTACTTGCACAATTACCCAGTTATGATAGGCAGGAACCACCAGATGTATATTATCAAAGGCTTAGAAATATAAATGAGACAGCACGTCCCTTAGCTGTTGTTGGTTTTAATACTGGTGTAAGATGTCAAGTTATGATAAATAAGATGACAGGTAGATTTGCACCTGTTCCTGCTAATGATCCATATGCCGGAGGTAATCCAGCTATTGTTACTGAACCTCTCTTCCTAAACTGGTTGCGTGAAAGATATAGAGAAGTTATGGTAGGGACTAACCGAAGTGCTATATTTGCTCTTGTTAATGAAAAGTTTTTAGAGACAGATACTCCAGATAGTTATGAAAAACGAATCAAACCGCTAGTACAAGCAATGCTAGATGCTGATGCCTTACCTTATCTATTTAATCATTTGCCTTCTGATTTAGAAATGAGAGTTAGAATTGCTACCCCTGCTACAGTCAATGCATTTTTTACAGACTTACGCAATATATGGTATGAAAGTGCAGGCAAAAGAATACAAGCTCCTGCATCAACCTCAGTTAGCTTTACTACTCAACCACAAAAAGATGATTTTAAAATTCGGCTAGCAAGGGATTTGGCATATTCAGGAATAATAACAGATGACGCAACATTAGAAAATTTTATCTATGAAGAGCTTCAAAAGAGGTTAGGAGGCAAAACAGCTCATGTTAGAAAGAGTCCCTTTACGCCCAGAAGTGCTTATGCCACAAAGAAGATTGTTAGAAAGATAGTACCAAGCAAAGCGCCTATCGGCAAAGCATCAAGTAAACATGTCCGACATTGCTCAGCATGCGGAAAGGCTGGTCATACAAAGGTTAATTGTCCTAAAGGCAAGCGGACTAAAAAAGTTAATTATGTATACCAAGATGAGGTAGAAGATCCTGAAGCTTCTGAAGAAGAATACATATTGGAAGAGGAAGATGAAGCCGAAGAAGAGGAAATAGAAGAAGTCGAAGATGATGAGGAGGAATATGATGATAATGAATCTCGTAACTGCTATGCTGTAAAAAAAAAGTGGGGCGAAGTGGAGTACTTATGAAAAAGAGTGCCAAGTCAAAAGAAGGAGCAACCAAGAAATCCCCTACTTCCAAATCTCGTGCTAAGACATCAGGCAATATAATCATGGCTACAGACCTAATGTATCAAATAGCCTTAAAATCTTCAATATCATCATTAGTCCCTTATTGTCCTAGAGAGATTCTTATAGAAATTTCGAAAGTTATTAATATGATATTCCCCAAATTAAAAGACCATTGCTTGAATATTGTTATGCCAAATGATACAGTTAAAAGAAGGGAATTAGCATGGGGAACGTTGCAAGTAAATTAGAAGACATCTTATTTCCTCTATTGCAGGCAGTAAATAGTGAGCAGAAGCCTCTTTTACAAGTTCCAGATAATAATGAATCTATCCTGAATGCCCCCAGTCTAAAAGAAGATATAGTTATGGCTGATTCGACTAAAATTAAGGAAATTAATACTACATCCACTAGTCATGTTTTACCAGAGAACATCCGGCTAGAACATGCTATTAAGGCTTATGCATCGGCTCAAAAAAAAAATAGCCAAATATATTGGCCCAAGCCCTTAGAGATAAATTTTTTACAAATAAAGGATGCTGACGACGTTGCAACCATCTCCTGTAAGGTGGGGAGCGTGACTATACCCTATGCAATGATTGATAGTGGATCAGACTCGTCAATAGTCTCAGAAAATGTTGCAAAACATTTGGGTCTAAAAATAGATAAGAAAAAGATTCAAAGACTTAATGGAGTAGCGAGTAAGTCCCATTCCCTTGGTACAGTTGATAGTGTTCCTGTAACTATTGAGGATGGAGAAAATAGAGACACCATTCCGGATGAATTCTCTGTCGTCCCTACAGAATATGATGATAGTGGAAAAGAACTATCCCTATTTATTCTTGGAACACAATGGCAGTATCGTGCAGGATGGGAACCCTTAGTGAAGGGGGAATTTAAGGCAAGCCGAAATGGGAAGACTATTACTATCCCCTTATCAGTTCATAAATCCCAGCGTAATGTTTTTACTGTAGGGAAGGATCCAGAACCTATAAAAAAAAACTAGCTGATCGAACTTGTATGTATTGTGGAAAGGAATTTAGATATCCTGCTAATCTTAGGCAACATTTTTTACGAAAAAATCCATGCGCAGTTGAGAAATCCCATGTAAAGCCCATGCAAAATTTGACAGACCCATGCGCAGTCAAGAATTCTCATATAAAGCCCATGCAAAGTTTATCAAACCCATATTTAGAAAAAAATATGGTACCCATTCGGTTAAGCCTTGCCTAGACAAGAGTTCGAAAAGTATATTTTTTTCGGATGTTTAGATCATCTTTAGCGTCATCATGCCATCTAGTCCACAATACTTTGGCTTCTTTTTCATAAAAGATAGTTGGCTCTATAGTATTATCTATACAGTCAGGATTGATAGAACAGATTCCATCATAATAGGCAATAATTGTTTGGTCTTTAGAATAGATAATATCATCCAATGTCTTGATAGTTTTTTTAACCGAAGAAAGGACATGTTTAAGATCCTTTATTTCATTCTTATATCGGGATAGGGATGCTGATAACCTGCCAATCTCCTTATCTTTTACAGCATTAGCTTTATCCAAAGTGGAGATACAAGATTTGTATTGCCTCTCCAAGTCAGCCGAGCTAGATTTCTGTTGCTCTTCTAGCTGATGTTTGAATAAAATATATTTGCTGTTTCATATCTACCATACAATTATTATATTCACTCTCCAGACGAGACTTAAGAGCATCATATTCATCTTTTAGACGTTTGCGTTCCTCAGCAACCTGAGCATCAATAGTTTTCTTAATATTATTTTCCCGTTGCTGTACACAAAGCTCACGTTCCTCTAACTGTTTCTCAAATCCATCCAGCCGGGATAATGTACTAGAACCATCGGAAGAGGTATTTGCTTCAATCTTAATCTTCTGGCGATTTTTTTTATTAAAGTATCTATTAACCTCCCTAGTAAGCAACTCCTCAATGTCCGGATGGATACCCCTAACCTGCTCCTCAGATAATGGTCTATTTTTGCGGTTTGTAAGGCGTAACCATACATCCTTTTTCATGGATGGGGGTAACTGATCAAGCAAATTCTTATAGTGTTCGTTGAAATTTGGTTGGCTGGACATATATTCGATTATAGGTAAGTGATATAGTCTTGGAAAATTCCTGGAAAAAAATATTCCTGGAAGTTCGGAAATTCCATATTTTCCTAGAAGTTTGTGTATTCCATATATTTCCAGCAAAACTTTCCGCCTATAAATTAGCCAAAAAAATTGCCGAAGTCTAGAATCCAGGAAAAATGCCGGGAAAATTAGTTGTTTGAAAATATCAAACCACTATAATATTTCTGAATCATGGGATGATCGGCTAATTATATTCCGGGAAAAATAGAGACACTGGTGCAGTAACCTGGCACAGTACAAAGGAATCCTGGACATGCATGTCCGCTAATTATGCAGTGTCAGTATCGATCAAATATTTTTGGACATGCATGTCCGCTAATTAGGTGGTGATCTGTGACATTAATGTCACACTACTTCCAATGAGATTTGGACATGTTTTGGAACCGTGACATGGCTTATACCTGACTTTTATTAGTTAATTTACGTTAATCATGCTTTACAATACTACATATAAAAAAAGTGCTAAACTTTGAGAAGCGGACATCGTATCCTGATCTCGGAATTCAGGTATCAGGTGATAAGCGTGAATACTCTTCACATTTCCAGCCAATAGAAAGCCGGCAAGAATTTTACCGATACTGTACTGAGCGAGCATTTACCAAGAAAAATTTTTTATTAATACATACTAAAAATAAATACAAAGTTCGGGACTATGCCCGCAATACATGATGTCTATACTATTGTACATGATTATTTTTTCGAACGATACCCCTCTATCCTAACCCTCTTCCTTTCTGGTTCTTCTTCCGCACATGCCCCTATCCTTTAATAATCCTACTACTACGCCCAACACCTTTTTCACGCCGTTACGTAATGTTTGATATTCTGCAGACTCTTTATCCAAAGCATCTTCGGAAAATTCGATGCTAAATGGTAATTTACTGCCTTGTGAAATTTTCCCCGGAGTGTAGAGCAAGAAGTGCCAGTCCCGAGCTGTAGTAACAACGCCATACAAATAATCGAAATCATCATCGTCTACCCGCTTCCGTTTTCTCGTATTCGTTTGACATGAGCTCTCTAACTGTTTGATATTCTGAGCGAAGCCTTCGATCACATTCCGCTGTGGCTTATCCTCCGTTATGCAAATAAGGTTCTCGACATCCTGAAATGAAGTATGGTGTTAGTATGATACCCGAGACGGCATAAAGAGTTCTGACTAAAGTTCACTCTTCACCCGCCCAGTGCTTTCTTCACCTATTATTTCGTATTCAGGCCTCATACTTAATTCTTTCCCTGTGACATCCCTGGTTATATTTATTGCGGAATGAAGAATGGCCACAACGTACTCATTGCGCATGGCTTCCAAGCTATCCACAACCAAAGTTCCGTAATTTTTCAGCCTGACTAATATTTCCGCCATACATTGCTTGAAGTGCTCGTTAGTATCCTCTATCTCATACGACTGCAGTGAAAAAAAGCGGGATAGTGTCTGTACCGTTGCCATCAATACCGTATTTCGTTAACACCTCACTCAAACTCTTGTATGAGGAGAACGCACGCTTCGGCTTTTCTTTGAGGGTCTGGACCTCTTTTGCGAGAAGCGTTGCTGGACCACCTTTAAATCCATAACGCTCAAAGTCTTCTCTAGTCAAGTCGAGAAAGGAGAGACCGTTAATTTCTTCTTCACGAAGAATGTCGAAGTGCTTTTTCTCGAGCTTGAGGTTCTGCTCTTTCAAAAAATCGATAAGGGTTTCTGTATCCCAGTTCTCAACCAAGTAAGAGTCATGTTCAGCTGTTGAGGTAGACATAGTGTTACGTTTTTATAGGGATATTATCTCGGATAAAAAATAGTGTTACGTTCGGAAGAAAAATAGAGTTTTATTTCTAGTGGGAACGCAGGTGTTAATATAGGTTTTTATGTAGCACAGGCATTGCATCATCGCACGTGACCCTTTCTCAATATACGTTCGATAAAATAATACTTTATTTATGAAATAAAATAATACTTTATTTATGAAATAAAATAGTTGCCGGAAGGGTCTCAGAGGGACCAAGTCGGCCTACAATACATAAAAATGCGACTATACTTCGTGGCTAAGGCCTATCGCTACATGATAATGAAATATAGATAAAAAAAAATTCTAACTACTAGGAGGAGTATTTAAATACGTACAATAATATGAATTTTATTGTTAGGAGGTTGCTGGGGAAAATGACTAGAAATTAATTGATATGGGAACATTTCTTCTCCTCCTTCGCCATGCCCATTATTATATTGACTAATTTGATCGACAATAGTTATAACTACTCCGGAATCGATCTTGCGAAGAATAAAGTTGGTAGGAAGAATATTTTCAAATAATGATGGCCACCTTTCCTTAATCATAGGCCTTAACAGATCGACCGTCTCGTTGCTAGAGATCTTAAGCGTAGTAATACTTTGCCTTGTTACGCTTTCGGGCGAGGCATCGGGGATAACAAGACAATTAAGAGTTAAAGTATTGGCCATTGTCTGATTCCTATTTCCAAGGACTCATGGTTAGAAAAACTCGCTCCCATACATACATAACTTCTAGCATATACATACCTTATTTTGCGTTAGCTACGCTAGTGAAACTATTTTCTCTGGGAAAGTTTTTTGAGGAAAGTTGGCTGAACTTCCACATACCTCTACATGCTTTATATCTTGCTGGAAAAAGAGCGCCAAGCCGAAGTTAAGGAGATAAGAATAGTGATTAGCATTGTCGTATGATGCCAAGAGCTCTATGAAAGCACATGTAAACGGAATTCTCTTACCTTTTCACATGTAGATCTACCGGAGAGACATAGTTGGTCTTACGCCTGGCGATCTCGAAAATTGCGAAGTCCTCAGCCTTTCATAACATATGCTTTTGTCGTCACTATTTACTTATAGGGAAGGTTCTGTGTTGCAACTAAACCTCCTTTCACATTTTTCTCATGTTGGTTTGGGAAAAAATAAAGAACAAAGGTTAATATGTTTTTCTTTTTAGAATATATGAAGATTATTATGTCGCACAGACCTGTCTGGTGATCCACATATTTTCGTCGTACCAATTGGCCGAAGGTGGCTCAGCAATTCTTCCGAGCTGATGATCATTTCTCCGGACTAGCATTAATCGAACTGCCTGGGAAATTAGGATCGGAAATATCAAACATTTTACTCACATCGCTTCTAAACAATTTTACCATGTTTTCTAGAGCCTCTAAATTTTTCTCAAATACTTTGGTTAGCTCCTCCTGATCGCTAGGTAAATTATTGGATGAGGAAGCATAGCTGGCCCCTTTAGGACTGCTTCGAGTCTCTGACTCCTCTTTTTTACTTGATCCCTCTGGGACCCTTTCGGCTTGGCGCTTGCTTTCCATTACTTGAACCTTTGGTACTGCGAAAGTTAGTCTAATTATTGAGAAAAAAAAAATGCACAATATTTAGTTGATTATGCTCCGGACTAGTTTGATCGTACTGCTCGGGCTGGATTCCTTCTAGGTTTCGCCTTCTTATTGCCGGATTTTTTCTTCACACACTTTACTTTGCAAATATTCTTTTCTGAGCTGGTAGGCGCTTCGCATAGCAAATATTAATAATCTGAATCGGATGAATCTGAATCGGATGAAATCTCTTTACCTGGCTCTACACCAGTTTTCTCTTCTACATAATTTTCTATACATTCTACAGTTGTTTCTAGCTTTTTAATTTGCACAAATAAAGCACCTACGTTATTTTTTAGCCAGTCTGTTAAAACCAGTAGCTTGGCACCTTCTTCATCTTCTAAATATGTTTCGCTAGGCATCCTATTGTTTGATAAATGCTTGGTCCTGGAGGTATCATTTCGTCTGACTACCATCTTTTCTACAACTGAATATTTTTTGCCCCAGAAAAAAAAAATAAAAGCTGAATTTATCAATCTGCAGGAGAGAGCCTATCTGAAAAAATAACTGATTAATTATCACTGGATTGTATTTCTTTTCCCGAATGAATATGAGAAATAGAGTTGTACATTTCGTCTATATCACTTCTTAACATTTTTTCGAAATCTTCGGGTGCCATAGCATTATATAGATAATAGATTTCTCGGGCAATTGTTTTAAGATTTTGATGTATTTTAGTTACATCACGTTCCAGTGCTATAATAGACTCTTTGATATTCACAATAGTGTATATCTTTTCTTTTTCCGAATCTGTGTAATATTTTTTAGAAGGCATTTTATATATCTGAAAAAAAAATAAACTGAATATTTATCATATCAGAAAAAAAAAATATAATAATTATGTAAGTGCTATGCGGAAGTCATCACTAGTCTAGCTTATTGCTGGGAGCTGGCTATGTGAGACGTACTTTCATTTTGATATTTCTCTGGGAGCTTGGCCCTCATAGCTCTTTTTTCGGCCTCGTCATGGGAGATACTATCTTTGACCATATTCTTATATGCTTGGATTCGCCAATGTCTATATGGTAAAGTGGTAATCCCATCAGATAAGATCCAGCGCTTAGTATCTATGGGGCAGAGTGCCTTTTTCTCCGATTCGACCAGAGATAATATGTGGTCCTTTGATCGGAAACCAACATTCTTGGCATGAAATACTTCCTTACCAAAGAGACAGTCTCGATAGACTAGAGTCATGGGGTCTGCATCGGCTCGCATAGCTTCTTGCTCCGATAGTGAAGACTTATCTATTGGATCATCTAAAAGGGACCCTTCTAAGCTTGGCATATATGTGTCTATTGCCATTTCTTCCATACCATTCTTACTAACCCCCTTATGTTTAGACCTTGTAGATTTATCGGCTAAGACATAATGGTAAGACTTGGCTCGAATGTGAAAAGATTCTGTAATCACACTGTCAGGGGTCTCATCCTTGAAAAGCCCAATAGTTTTGGAATCATTGAGATCGAATAGATCTGGGTGTTCGGCCATATCTTTATAAACATCTTTAGTCATAATTAGAATTATAAAGGAATCTGTGTCCATATAGCCAAGTTGGGCATTATCACCATATCTCTCCTTTACATACCCATACCAGAATCGATACATATGGAGCTTGCTAAGACCCAAGACTGATGCCCCAACTATGATGGGCTTATTGAGGGTCACACTAGCCTTTCCCATATGGGCTCCTATCAGTGTGTCTCCAAGCTGTCTGCCATACTTAAAATTTGGTTTGTTAACCTTATTCAAGAATGCCTTTTCATCCCGCTCATTATTACACTTCATGAGCTTGACATCCTGGTATTTGCGAACATTCTCCATAGTCTTGCCATATACTGAGTTATTCATGAGCTTGAAGAAGTCTTTTTCAAAGGCATTCCTAGCTCCTTGTCGTTTCTCAGTATTAAATGCAATATATGGGGCAAGCCAGTTAGTCTGGTCAAAGGAAAGGATTTCTGTAACTTCGTCTACAACCATTCCTAACTTCACATAGTATTGGAGCTCTAGGTAATGGATGACATAATCCTTTCTCGGACCAAGATGAGGGACTAACTTTTCTGTTTTAGAGAAGCGTCCACCATCTAAGTTATTTACAAGCTCCTCATTATATGGGCTAAGCCAATCCTTTCCTACTGCTACATTCTCTACGGCTGGGGGTAAGTCTCTCAAATAATCATGGGTTTTGAGAGGGAAATGAGACTTAATGTTTAAGAAATATCCACGTCGGACATTTGGCTTAGCTTTAAGAACCATTTCAAGATATGCCTTTTGCATAGCCGGATTCTTGAGTAAATACTCCCGGCTAGCCTCCCATCCCTATGAAAAAAGTCTGTGTGATTTTTGTTGAAAAATCATTCAATTAAATTAACTACAATTTCAGTATATTTGACCATACAATAATTGTGCTAAAAATTGCAATAAATCACACAATTATTGCATGGTAATTCATTCAATAATTATCCTATTTTTGACCTGAATTTATACAATTATTGTGTGATTTTTGAGCCAAATTTTAGGCCATATTTTAGGAATTATAGGTTAAATTTTACAGTAATAACAGGCAATTTATAAAGTAAAATTATGAATTTTTATTGACTTAAAATAAGATGTGTATAAGAGACAGATTTAGTTGATTATGCTCCGGACTAGTTTGATCGTACTGCTCGGGCTGGATTCCTTCTAGGTTTCGCCTTCTTATTGCCGGATTTTTTCTTCACACACTTTACTTTGCAAATATTCTTTTCTGAGCTGGTAGGCGCTTCGCATAGCGTATATTTATAATCTGAATCGGATGAATCTGAATCGGATGAAATCTCTTTACCTGGCTCTACACCAGTTTTCTCTTCTACATAATTTTCTATACATTCTACAGTTGTTTCTAGCTTTTTAATTTGCACAAATAAAGCACCTACGTTATTTTTTAGCCAGTCTGTTAAAACCAGTAGCTTGGCACCTTCTTCATCTTCTAAATATGTTTCGCTAGGCATCCTATTGTTTGATAAATGCTTGGTCCTGGAGGTATCATTTCGTCTGACTACCATCTTTTCTACAACTGAATATTTTTTGCCCCAGAAAAAAAAAATAAAAGCTGAATTTATCAATCTGCAGGAGAGAGCCTATCTGAAAAAATAACTGATTAATTATCACTGGATTGTATTTCTTTTCCCGAATGAATATGAGAAATAGAGTTGTACATTTCGTCTATATCACTTCTTAACATTTTTTCGAAATCTTCGGGTGCCATAGCATTATATAGATAATAGATTTCTCGGGCAATTGTTTTAAGATTTTGATGTATTTTAGTTACATCACGTTCCAGTGCTATAATAGACTCTTTGATATTCACAATAGTGTATATCTTTTCTTTTTCCGAATCTGTGTAATAT